GTGAAATTCAAGGCATTCTACAATGAGGATGCTTGAAATACTGTCCCATAGAATCCAACCTAAGGATTTAGAAAGATTGACGATATATCGTTAATAAATTATTTAACTATCGAATAAATTACGACAACATTGTTTTCATATGTTATTAACAGCAATATTTTTATATGAATAAATCTGAAACAACAAAAGTATCGATGAGCATATAAATGTCGTAAATTAACAACAATAATTCACTTAAGAAAAATTTGAGAACAGATCAATAAAATAAAAAAAAAAAGAACACAACAACAACCAATGTATATCTATAATATTTTGTTTGCGTCACATAAATCGAATACAATCGATGCACAAGGCCTAATAAAGTATCTCAATAAGACAATATTTATATAAGAACATAAAATACTGTACGAAACGAAAAGAATATTATTCATTGCGGGAATAAATTTTTTAAAATGCATATATATGTATTTTTTTTTCTTTTTTTCTTAATCTGTAAGTAAATCATTTTCATCACCAGTTCCAACAACAATTGGTTGAGCAACTTGATCAATTGTTCCATAAGTTCCTTGTTGTAATGGTTCACGTACTGAACTTCGACGAACTTTTGTTGCACTCGGTGGAATATCAAATTCTTCTATGCACGCATTTAAAATCGTTGGAATATAATGCTACAAACAAAAAAAAAAGAAACATTATTCGATAAAATATTATTTTTATGATTGATAGTTACCGATGTTGCTCGTTGTTTAGTTTCACGACCTTCCATTTCTTCTAATTCACCTAAATCATCCAATTTTTGACGATTTCCAGCCGTCTACAAAGTAAAGCAATTATAGAACCGAAAAAAACAACATAAGTCAATGTCAAATTCTCATAAGCAATAAAAGAAGCGGCAAAATATAACCAAGAGATAGACTGATTCCCTAATTATCCTTAATATAAAATAGTAGATTTCGTCTCCTGTTAATAACACTCGACAATGTATTATGTTAAATTGATTATACTAACTTGATTTCGAGTTTATTAAACACTTTTAATATATATTCACAAGCTTTGCAATTAAACATCAAGTACACCGATTTATTCAACACGATTAGGATATAATATCGTAATCAGTAGTATAGATTTTCTAGTGATTAGTTGCTCGATCTGTCTTATCTTCAAGATTTTTATTTGTCTCAATTGTAGTTTACGAAAGATATATATGCGAGGTATCGAATAATGTATGTCAAAATACTCATTCTTCTAATTGTCATCTGTATTCAACCAAATTCATTTCAAATAAACTCAATACTTTCGACAAAAAAAAAACAAATATTAGTCTTATTTAATCGGAGACGAGAGTTCAAAAATAATCAAGGAATAATTAAGAAAAGTCTTCTCATCCCAAAATAATAAATTGCGATACCAAATCAAATGATTT